AACCAAATGTTTCATATATTTTAAGAATTTTTGCTTAAAGAAATAAAGCTATGGAACATCAAAGCAGGCTAAGCAAATATTCATAATCTGTTCTTTGCATTTAATTCCTTAGGTGTTCATAAAAATACAAAAACAGTGCTAAAATGTAAATCCATTTTCATCAAAAATCTGAACCAAAAACAATAAACTAAGTTTTCAGAGTAAGTAAAACCATGGGTATAAAAATGCTATTTAATTTAATGAATATATATATATATCAATCATAGAAGTGTCTGAATGGCATAGTATTTATTTATGCCATTCAAATACTTCTGAAAAAATAGACTATGATCATTAAGGCTAAAAAGAATTTGGGCTTTGCTTTTCAAAATGTCCTATTTGGTTATTTAGGAAGATAAGAAATCTCTGCAATCAGTTCTGTGATGGTGCTACGATACTCAAACTACACATGATGGACACAAAAGAATAGAGAGATATACTCCTATTTCTACTCTGACACTGTGGTCTTGAAAAGTCTGTAATTTTATCATGAAGAATATAACACCTTGACATATAAGGGAAATAAAAGAGCAATTCTGTCCCCATAAAGCAAAGGTCGGCACAGTTTTTTCATAAAGGTTCAAAAACTATATATTTTAGGCTTTAAAGGCCATAGATGGTTCTCTGTTATTTTACTCCCACAGCCCTTTGGCTTTTTAAAAATGTAAAATACATTCTTAGCTCAAGAAGCTTATAAAATATATCATGGAAGGAGCTTGAATTTCTGGAAGAAATTGTATCCAGATAGAACTACAAATCTCACACAATGGCAGAATAGCAGAAAATAATCTAGCCCATAACAATTTAGTTTCACTATCCATTTTTACATACAAGAGGGCTTCAAAGAGTTTGTGGGAAAGTAGAATGAAAAAATAATGAAAAATGTGCACAAACTTTTTGAAGTCCTTTGTATACTGACACAAAACATCCCCACTCCTCTCCATCCAGGGCAGGGTGGGGGTGGGGGCCAGGGCAAAAAAAGATGTTTCTAGTTTAGCTTACCTTTGACTGCAGCGTGAACCACAGCAGCCTGAGAAATGACCTGGTAGGTTTCAAAACCCAAATAAGACAGAGCTGAAAATAAAAGGCCTCGTTTGACAGTTCCTTGGTTTCCAATCACCTGAGGAAACAATAATGGTCAGTTATCAAAGACAATATACAAGAGTTGATACCCCAAGGGAAAACAAATCTTATCAATTTTCACCCACCTCCACGACTGGAAACAAAAATTCATCACATTCTTCAGTAAAAATATTTCACATAAGTATTTTATAAAAGAGAGTATACCATGAGGAGGCTTCAGAAAGTTCATGGAAAACAAATGAAAATGTAATTTTTCCACGAACTTTGTGAAGTCCCCTTATGCAATGCAACCTTATGAAGCATTCTCCTTAAGCTGCCCCAAAGGGGGGAAGCAGCTGAAAAATTCGTGTCATGCTGATGTCAGCTGCGTTTTATGTGGTGCAGCAGGAATATTATCAATCCCATGAAATTAAATGAGGATATACCAGCTGTGTTAGTCTGGGTAGATAGAGAAACAAATCCACAAAACTTATATGTATATAGGAAAGTTTTATATAAAGGGCAAGCGTACATTAAGAAAGCATCCCAACCCAGTGCTGTCCATGCCCATAAGTCCAGCATTAGCCCATATGTCCAACACCAATCTACAAAGTCCTCCTCAATCTCACAAAACACACACAATGATGCCGACTGCAGGAAGAAAGCCGAGTCAGTGAGTGTGTAAGCATCTCAGCGCTGGCAGGGGTCTCCACATGGCTGCTCGAGCACCCAGGGCTGCATTGGGGTAGGTAAATGTGGTTTCTCCTCAGGGATGTCTTGCAGGAAGTGAGCCCTGCAATCTGAAGCAGGGAACGGGCTAAGGCAGCTGCACCCTGGTCCGACCATCAGAAAGCAAGAGACCCGAGAACTAGAAAGGCGAGGCTCATTGAGCCATTTGTCTCTCTGCCCTTCAATTAATCCCACGTGTTTATCAGCCAGGTTGACACAACAAACTTTAATTATCTCACCAACGAATAACAATCAACCATAGGAACAGACAGTTTAAGAATATCAAATATTTAAAATGTATATGGTTTTAAGTAAGGCTATCTTCAAAACGGATCCACAAAACGCATATTTTAAAATAAATGATGAATAAAACAAAAGGCATGCCAAAAGCTATTTAGAAATTAATTTTAAATGATATCCAGATCCACTCCTTTCTCCACGAGTTTTTCTTCGATTTGGTGTCATTTTTCTCTTTCTGTTGATTCAGCCTCATCAGCCTACAATCAAGCTATCTATGCAAGCTGTGATTTCTCTCTTCTGAAAAAACCTTCCTCTTGACTTTACCTCCCTCTTCACTCTGATTTCCCAGCCCACCACTTTTAGCCAAACTCTTCCAAAAAGTGTCTCCACTTCCTTTCTCATTCTCTTTTGAACACGCACAAATCCCACTTTCATGCCCACACCCCCAGAGTGATATTCTAGCTGTGGTCACCAAGGATGGTAGTAGTTCTTATATTCAACCATGAATTCTGACCTTATTAACGTCATGGCTGGCTGATTTTTTTTTTCTTTCTTTCAAATCATGAATGGTGTTTTGGTTTTTTTTCAAACATTATTGGGGTATAACTGACAATAAACTGCATTAAGTCTGTCAGTTTCAATATACGTATACAACATACCCATCAACTCTACACATTCACTCAGACCTTTTTTAAACCATTTCCTCCCTACCCCATCCTGTCCTTGCAACACGGATCTACTTTTGATTGGTATTATTCATCCTCAAAACATTCTTGTCCTTTACAATACTAAACTCTTGAACTTCCACTACCTCAATGACTGCTAAGGAGCCCTGATAGTGCTGCTAACCCCAAGGTCAGTGGTTCACACCCACCACTATCTGCTCTCTGAATAACTTTCTGTCTCGGAAACCCTAGGGTTTCTGGGTCCTATAGGGTTGTTATGAGTCAGAATGGACTTGACAGCATTGGGTTTTGATGAGTTAAATGAATGTTTTTTCTCAGTCACCTTTGCGGGTTCCTCAGTTCTAATATGCCAATGCCTAGGTGTTTCCTGGACTTAGCCCCACCACCTCTTCTTTACCTGTATCACTTTGGTGATTTCATTTGGTTTGTTAGCTTTAAATATCAGCTATGTGAAAAAGCACTCAAAGGTAATCTTCAGCCATTGCCTCTGAACTTCAGAATTCCACATCAAACTGCTTACCTCAATCAGTCTCTACATGAAGTCTAAGAGGCAGCCAAGTCCAACAGCCAACTAGCTGCTGTTTGCCCAAAGCTCAAACCTCTATCATAGTACACAGCAACTTTATTCTTCTAGCTGTCCAAGTTAGTACAAATAATAACAAGAACTGGCATAATTCTCAAGTCCACTGCTTTCTCTCAAAACCCACATTCTGATCCAAAATATAACCAGCACCCAAACAGTCTCACCACCTCCACTGCTACTACCACCCTGGTTCAAGCCATCATCACCACTCATCTGAATTATGGCAATACATGTTAGCTTCAACAAGTCTGTGGGAATCAAGAGATAATGGTTTTTTTCCACAAAAACTTCAAAGCCAATCGTAGCCTAGTAACTGGTCTTCTGTTTCTAGTCTTACCCTCAGGTTTATTCTGAACATACTAGCTACGGGAATCCCTTTCAAACGAGCTATGTCACCATACTTATATGCACAAAGCCCTCTAATGCAGTTCTCAACCTGTGGGCAGGAACCCTTTGGGGGTAGAACGGCCCTTTCACAAGGGCCACCCAATTCATAACAGTAGCAAAATTACAGTTATGAAGTAGCTGAAAATAATTTTATGGTTGGGGGAGTCACCACCACATGAGGAACTTTAATACGCAACATGTATTAAAGGGTCACGGCATTAGGAAGGTTGAGAACCACTGCTCTAATGGCTTCCTAAATTATTCAGATTAAAAGCCTAAAACTGCCCACAAGGCCCTACACCTACAAGTTCTTATAGGCCCTTTATGTCTCTGATCTCGTTTCCCACCTTGATCTCGGCACAAGCCTCTATAGCAGGGTTCTTCAAACTACGGCCCGCGGGCCACATGCAGCCCACCGAGGACATTTATCCAGTTCGTTGAGTGTTTTTGCCCCGTTTAGTTTTTTACTTCAAAATAAGGTATGTGCAGTGTGCATAGGAATTTGCTCACAGGTTTTTTTTACACCATAGTCCGGCCCTCCAATGGGTTTGAGGGACAGTGAACTGGCCCCCTGTTTAAAAAGTTTGAGGAGCCCTGCTCTGCACTGTTACAGTCACTTCACTTGCTGCTTCCTTCTACCATGTTCTTCCCCCATGTCTCCATGACTTGTTCCATCACCACCTTCAGGGCTTGGCTCAATCATTCCTTTCTCAATGAAGACTTCCCTAATACTGTGTTCAAAATCTTAACTATTTGGTTTTTGTTTGTTTAAATCTTAACTATTGTTTCTAGCACTATCTGACATACTGTTTTGTTGATTTAATGAGTCTCTTTTAACTGAAATCCATTCTCCATTACAATCACACCTAGGAAAGAATCTTGTGCACAATAAATATTTGTTGTTATCGGACTGGAAGATAGAGGTTATAGAGATTTTAATATTGACTTTAGTACTACCTATCTTAGATGCTTCTATGCACTGTTCATCTATAAAGTTGAGATATGAACCCTACTTTCCTCAAGTTGGACGAGCCCTGGTAGCATAGGGATTACAAACTGGGCTGCGATCTGAAAGGTAAGCAGTTTGAAACCACCACCAGCTGTTCTGATGAAGCAAGATGGGGCTTTCTACTCCCATAAATAGTCTCGGGAACTCACAGGGGTAAGTTCTACCCTGCCCTATAAGGCCACTATGAGTTGGCATCGACTCAATGGTAGGGTTTAGTTTTTGTTTAGTTTTCTCTAAGAGTTGAAGAGAAGTTCAAACAAGAACACACTTATAAGTGTTCTGTAACTATAGGCATTACTTCATGGCTGCTAGTTCAAAAGAGTAATGAAATATAAATGAATCTCAACAACCCAAAATATCACCACTAATGGGTATTAGTGCCACTGTGATTTCCAGTTGCTATCTTCTGTCAAATAGGATAAGAAGTCACAGAGTCTATAGTTTGAACCCACTAGCCACTTCCATCTGTTAAAGATTTACAGCCTCAGCAACCCACAGGGGGCAGTTTCACGGTGTCCTATAGGTCACTAGGAGTCAAAATAGACTTGAAGGAACAGAGTTTTTGAGTTTATCACATAGGCTTGAGAAATGGCATATTCTTTACATACAGACCTGCTGCACACCTGCCCCAACTGTTTAATTTATACCCATTTTATTTAATAACTTATCACTTATTTTATAAACTAAATAACTGTATGCTTGAGTTCTTATCTTTGGAACATTCATATAATACTAAACGAAGCCTCGTAATATTTATCAAGTACAGGGGAGGGAGGGAAAAATGAGGAGCTGATACCAAGAGCTCAAGTAGAAAGCAAATGTTTTGAGAATGAAGATGGCAACAAATATGCAAATTTGCTGGACACAGTGGATGTATGTATGGATTGTGAGAAGAAGCATTGTACGAGCCCCCAATAAAATTATATATATTATCAAGTATACTTGAAGAGAGTGAAGATTCCATTACTATTCTTAATAAATACTGTAGTAAATGAGGGACTGGATGATTTAGCTGTATTACATTCTCACCACAAAATAAAAAGATTTCCTATTACCAAAGTATATACCACTTTGCACTAGCAATTTTACAAAGGATTTGTGTAACTGAACTTAACCAAATTATGTCCACACCAGAGAATACTACTGAGCAATAAAAATTAACATGCATGAATTTAAAATTAACCATTACACTAATGTGGCAAATGTTTCTTTTTTTTTTTACCACGTTGAAAAAGTTTAAAGGCTAATGTTATAATATTAGGTGGAGGGAAAACTGTAATGAATGAAAAAGTCAGGTATAAGAGTACAGTTAGTGTCTGATTCATTTGTAGAATCTCTAAGAAGAAAGATTGAATCTACAATGACAGAAGGTAAACCACTGGCTGTTTCTGAAAGCGGGGATTGATGAGGTAGAGCAAAAAGGAAATTTTAAAGTGATGAAAACATCTGAATCTTGATGAGTGGAGGTTCAAATCTGTCAAAGCTCCTCAAAGCCTACACATAAAACCCGTACATTTTATTTGTATAAGTTATATCTCAGTAAAGTTTATTTTTTAAAAAACAACGTAAAAGCTTTAATGAGATCCTATTTAGTACCTAGCAAGCGTGAATAAATGTTCTAGAGAACATATGGCTTATTTGGTCTCTTGAACATGAATAGTCACGCTAGTGAATATATCTAGATTAAAAACAAATAGCAAATTAGTAAAACTCAGTTTTACCACCCCTAATTTTTTAGTTTATTAAGTAGAAAAGATGAAGTGGGACAATGGGTATGGGTGCATGTGTGTGTGTGTGTGGTGGTACCTACAGAAAAGAATTGGAAAACGTAGCTCCCTATTACAGTTATATCCCATACTAAAAAGGGTTGTGGGGAGTCCTGGTGGTGTAGTGGTACCCATTAGACTACGGAATATAAGGTCAACAGTTCAAAACTACCAGCTACTGTGTGGGAGAGAGATGAGGCTTTCTACTCCTGTAAA